CTTGTTCAATTCATTTTTTGTTTAGTCTCTGATTTTTCATGACCCGCGTTTTTATGGTTGATTGTTTGGTTCTGTCGCCATCGTGTATGCAATTATAGCATTAATTATCTTTTGTTTGATGTCTTGATTGTTGTTTGTTATTGAATTTTAGTTTATGTTGCTGCTGCTCTTCTTGTAAGCCACTCAGAGTACAGTAGTAGTGGACTGGAAACTAGAATTAATTAATTTATTGAATTAAGTACTGTAATTGAATTAAGCCAACAAATAATCACAAAGGCAAGCAAAAAACAATCACAGGCGCACAGGCACAAGTAGGCAGATACTGTACTCACTCAGTCACTACTTCACTTATGCCTTCCCATTTATTGATATTACAACTCAGCTGAGGAGAAAAATGTTTTGCTTTCATACCTGACATTTTCCTAACCATGGTTTCTTCTGTACCAACGTTCATTTCTTCATTTTCTTTTTCCCCACTTGTTTTTTCACAGACTCTTTATTCTTCACCTCTGGTTAGGAAGAAGTCATAAATGGTCAGGCTGGATCCTTGTCAGAGAAAGGTAAAAGTAAAGTTTCCCCTTGACATTTAGTCCAGTTGTGTCCGACTCTAGGGCGCGGTGCTCATCCCCGTTTCCAAGCCGTGGAGCCAGCGTTTTGTCCGAAGACCGTTTCCATGGTCACGTTGCCAGTGCGAGTAGACATGGAACGCCGTTAGCTTCCAACCAAGGTGGTACCTATTTATCTGCTCGCATTTACATGCTTTCGAACTGCTAGGTTGGCAGGAGCTGGGACAAGTGAAGGGAGCTCACTCCATCACGTGGATCTTACGACTGCTGGACTTCTGACCCTGCAGCATGGAGGCTTCTGTGGTTTAACCTGCAGTGCCACCACATGCCTTGTCAGAGAAAGGCAGCATGTAAATATTTTAAATAATAAAATAAAATAGTCACTGGGGGAATGCCTAACTTGCCCAGTAGATCATTCACCACCACAAACGTGCAACTAGATGTTCATGTGAAGTCCTGCAAGCAGAACATGGGGATGACAGTCCTCTCCTGCTGTAGTGTCCCAGTCATAATATTCAGATGTATTCTGGTGCCCCTTGGAAGACCATGAGCAGGACAAGACCACACTAGCATCCTTCTGCTTCTGGTCCTCAGCAAATGATATTCAGAGACATACTGCCACTGATACTGGAAATAGCCTATAGGGCTTTTCCATGTGGGATAAAAGTTTGACTGCACTTTAGTCACAGTTGGTCAGGAAAGAGAGTGATACTTACTGTAATTTGTGGCCAAAGCAGCCTTTTTAAAAGGCATTTTTAAAAGCATAATCCTGTGCATGAAATCTTTAAGAGCCTTGAAGAAAGATGTTAGCAATCCAGTTATTTTGTGAAGCCTCTCTTACAGAATATTTTTATTAAAATATTAAGGGCTTCCCATTGAAGTGAACTTCATAGAAAATTCCTATCATGATAAATCCTATCCTTGGTAAAAAGCCTGGAACAGAACAATATAAGCTGTGCCTAAGCAAATACAAAAAAACAAGGGAAGGCACATGGAAAGGCACTCATCATCCCAGAAGTAATCTTATGTTATCTAGACAGCAAATGAAAAACCTTACCAAGATGGTAGAGCCTTGAAGAAAGAAGTTAGCAATCCAGTTATTTTGTGAAGCCTCTCTTACAGAATATTTTTATTAAAATATTAAGGGCTTCCCATTGAAGTGAACTTCATAGAAAATTCCTATCATGATAAATCCTATCCTTGGTAAAAAGCCTGGAACAGAACAATATAAGCTGTGCCTAAGCAAATACAAAAAAACAAGGGAAGGCACATGGAAAGGCACTCATCATCCCAGAAGTAATCTTATGTTATCTAGACAGCAAATGAAAAACCTTACCAAGAACACATTGCGGTGTCATCTAGAGTGGCAAGAGCAAATGCTACATGTGGAGAAGACCATAGTCATGATTAGTGATTCAATTAGTGATAGCCCCATCCTCCACATATTTGGCTTAATACCTTTTTTAGAATTCTCCAAATTGGTGTTAATTGTACAGCCTGTAGTAAGAAATTCCACTGTGTAAAAGAGTATTTCCTTTTATTTGTCCTGAATCTGCCACCATTAGTCTTCACTGACATATGACATATGACATATGTAGTGAACGTTACAACATATAATTCATACACCTTTTTTCACATCCCCTCATATTTGTCTTTTTGCTGAACTTGAAAGGTCACAACTTTACCATCCCTCACAGGGAAGTTCTAACCCCTTTGCCTTTTGGGAGCCTTTTTGAGCATCTTGAGGCTGAATGGTTTGTAGATTTCCTGATGGCATGTATTTAACCTTTGTGGAAGCAGGATGCTGGAACTGATGGAAGTTTCATCTGATCCAACATAACTTTTCCGATATAAATATTTGGGCTTTTTAATCAATCCTACGAGCTGTTAACTGTAAGTTTGCGTATTTTCCCCAATAAAAATGAGTCTGATATTAAATAATGGAAACATTCTGGAAAACAATACAGGTGGACAACTAGGATTTTAAGGTATTTGGTTAAGTCCTGCATCATGAGCTCCATTGACTCAGCAGGCTGGTTAACAGGTGCAACACATTTTATTGAAGTGGTAAACAAGTTACAGAATTCCCCTGTCCCTGTCCTATGCCTGGCTCCCATTCGCCATTCATCTTGGGTTCTGGTTGCAATTACCAGCCCGAGATCCTTAGTAGTCCAGAGTTGGGGCTGAGTTGAAGTCATTAGCACCAGTGGCTGGGCTTTCCTTAGTGATGGCTGATATCTCCAGATGGAAACCAGTCCTCTTGCTGCAGTTGTTCCTCCTGCTCTTGAGCCAGCTGCACCAACCCCTGCATTGCTTCTGTGTTGGGGTGGGACTCTCTGGCTGTGGCGTAGAGGATGTTTGCACTGCCTGCCCACCAGTCTCGGAGCAGTGGGATGTGACACTTGGCTCACCAACTCTCCGCACCTTGTGCAAGTTGTGTATGCTGGAGTCCAGAAGTCCCAGAGGACACAGGGCTCCAGTTTTCTTCTTCTCCCCCAGGACACAAAGACACTCATTTTCCAGGGCATCTTTTCTCCTCTTCCTCCCCTTTATTCCCCCCACCATCTCCCAACTGGTTGCATTTTTTTCCTACTGCCCGTTCATGCATCCTCCTCCTCCCCCAGTCTTCTGTTCCTTGATTTCCTCCTGCTTTTCCCAGTGCAAACATTTAACGTCTTCATCTTCAGGCAGCCCTGGAACTGGGGACTTGGATGTCCACCAGAGGGCCTGTAGACATGGCAGATGATTCACTGACTAGGGTAACCTTTCTCAACCTTTTTTTACCTCTGGCCATAAACACAATATGAAAGAAATATAGGCCAAGTCAGCATTGTATGTTGCCCAGTGAACCTTATAAGGTGGTGTGTGAAGAATTGTTTCCATTCTGGCTCCCTTCAAATGTGTCAGGGGCTCCCAGGGGGGCATATCACTCCCATTGGGAATGGCTGCACGAGGGGACAACAGAGCCTGTTACACACACATGAAACCAATTTAAATTAGTTAATATGAACTGAATCTGTCCTGATTTGCTTAAATGGCAGACTTCTTGCTCGTATTATTAGAATCAACTTACTAGATCCCTGATCTTCCGCTTTTGAGTCAGGGCATACCATGGGATCACAGCCTGACCTAAAGTAGGTTGTATGGCAGTGCTTGTTATTTTTTATGTGCTTTCCAGTCACTTCCAAGTTACCATGATTGCAATAGGATTTTCAAAGTATGTGAGATGTTCATCAAACAAATTGATTTACCATTGCCACTGTGCCCCATGAGTTTTCTATAGCGAAGTAGGGATTTGAATGCAGGTCTCCTGAGTCCTCATTCAGCACTTAATCCAATATATCACAGAGCAGCACTACTGCACAAATGACAAAGTAAAATTAAGCAGGTCCCAAAGTAAATGTTTGAACCAGAAGTTGGTGTTGAGCCTGAAAATATGAATATTTTCAGATAAACACAAATATCTCAGTAATATTATCTGGGCATCAACAAACAATCTAGAGTGGTGTATTCTTGAAGGCTTTCATGGCCAGGATCTGATGGCTGTTGTAGGTTTTTCGGGCTGTTTGGCCGTGTCCAGCTCAAAAAAACCTACATCAATCTAGAGGGATTTTATTCTAAATCTCTTTCAACCAGATCACTGTGGGAATTGTGGTATCCTCAAAGAACTAGGGTTCTTTAATAAAATAAAGTTCATAATCTTGTCAGTATGTGAAGAATGTTAGTCAATATGTCCATTTTAAATG